GCTTCTCCCGGCGGGTTTGTTTACGTCCCGCGGGGCAGCCACGCGCGCCTGGCTCCGCCGGTTCGAGCCCCGCGGCCTGGGGCGCTGGGTCCTCACGCCTTCCTGGCGGCGACCAGATTTGGGCGCGGGCTGAATTGGACCTCAGCCACTGGCTTCCAACTAGTTCTCCCTCCTCCCCGCGACGAGTCGCCCCTCGGCTGCTCGAGCCCCGCGTGAGTGGTTTTGGGGAGGGAGTAGCCGCTTGAGTCCTTCTTTGGAGGGCAGGGACGGCTGGCAGAGCGAGAATGGAAGGGGCGGTTTTCGTTTTCCCCCCAGAGTTTGGGGAAACTGAAATTGGAGGTGAGCAGCTACGGCGCAGAGCGACCTTAGTGTTACCGAAGGAGAAATGTGAAACCTAAGAGGTTAGGGTTTCTCCTGACCGAACTGAAGCTGGGCCGAAATAAGTGAAGTGGGGCCCAGAATCGCCCGCCTAGGACTGCAACTCGAGTCGTTTTTAAAAATGGAGAATTATAGCAGAATATCTGTGGTATTGAAAGCTTTGTTAATTCTTGGTGATGGTACCTGTTGCTGGCAGAATAACTTTTCAGAATTGTAAGACTTGGTGTAAACCTAGGTTCAGGGTGAAATTTGCATTTGAAGAGGACATGGTTTGGATTCCGAACAGCCTTCATGTTTGTTGCAATGTGGAAACTTGTAACTGTCACAAGGCTAACTATAAAATGTCACCCAAACCTGGCAGGGTAGCCCAGAGACAAGTTACATAGTAGTAGGGAGGCGGGGGAACGCTTACATTTTTTAACAAGCTTAAATAGGAAATGATTGTACCTCGGTTTAAGGTTTTGAAACTGAAAATTATTCACCCTTGCGTCAGTACAGGTGGTATTAGTAGACATTAAGTAAATAAATACATGTGGGATTCAGCTACTAATTGGAAAGAAATTTAACTGACTTTTAAAAATGGAGACGTCTCCCTTGTGGACATCTTGGGAAAGTGCTTAGTTTTCTAGGTATTGGTCTTTTGCCACTAGGAAATAAATGTCTTTGTCATGCTCATATAATGACTTTCTTTAAACATTTTTTCAATGCTTTTCTTTGGAAAAATGGAAGTGCAATTTAGATAATGTGTTGAGCCGTGTAGAAACTCAAGAGACAATAGAAAGTAGGCTTTAGGGGAAGGGGGTGGGTATTAAAAAGGTGGCATTTGGCTGCTTTCTCTTTCCTGGGCAAAGGTTGACTTTGGCCATGCACATTTCCAAGGGGTTCAGGTTATTCACATAAAAAACCATTTTCATATCTAAAAATATATAATCTGTATAATTGTGTAATACTGCTTTACAGTTGCCTAAGCACTTTCTCCTGTCTATCTTGCAGTTTTACAACTATCTTGAGAGGTAGGCAGGACAAGTAGCTGTAAAAATAATCAGATGATCCTTTTCCCAGTAAAAGTATTCAGTGTAAGCCCAATAAGTGAAGTGCATGTAAAAGTGATTGCTTGAATGTGACAGGTGTTACTGCTATTTGCTGTGTAGTTGGCCATGACTGAAGTATCTTGCCAGGACTTTCTTAGATTGTCTTAGTCTGGAAGTTCTACTGAAATCTGCCCATTATGAGTGTCTGCTGGTATTTCAAATGTCAGTGGCATAGTTCCCCATATCATAGCAACATATAGCAACCACAGATGGGTGACGGATGTAAGTGTATATGTGAGAAAATGAAAACTCTTGTTAAGTCTACTCTGCTGGAAAATACAGATCTAATCAACCCAAGTATGTGTTTGTGTGCGTGTGTGTGTGTGTGTGTGTGTTTGTGTGTTTAAAACAAATGTCATAAAGACAAGGACGACTACAGAGACATAGCATCTGCATGAGGGAGACCATTGGCATGAGGTCATTGTGGTGTCCGACAGCTCACTGGCATACAAAACTTTAGAAAGGACGTGGGAGGTCGAAGAGGATTGTCACATAGGCATTCTAGTGGGTGTCTCATGTGTGATTTTATTATGTGTTTTCCTACAAATGTTCAGCAACTTTTCATGTAACCCAGGTTTTTGAATAGACCCGAATTTAATGTTGATACCAGTTTACTATACCTTACTTTGTAGGATCCTCCTTTTGGTTTTGCTTTGTTCTAGTCAGCTTTGGACAGCAGTTCTCAACCTGTGGGTCCCGACCCCTTTGGGGGTCGACCAGTTCACAGGGGTTGCCCGATTCATAACAGTAGCAAAATTACAGTTATGAAGTAGCAATGAAGATAATTTTATGGTTGGGGGGTCACCATAACAAGAGGAACTGTATTAAAGGTGGCGGCATTAGGAAGGTTGAGAACCACTGGTTTAGGAGGAGGTGGCTGAATGGTTACGCATTAGGCTGCAATCCGCAGGGTCAGTAGTTTACAACCACAGGAGAAGGAGAGGTTTCTACTTCTGTGAAGAGTCAAGTCTTAGAAAGTCACAGGGCAGGTCTACAGGGCAGGCTTACTCTGTCTGATAGGGTCACTCTGAGTTGGCATCAACTCCATGGCAGTGAGTGTTTGTTTTGAGTTAGTTTTTCATAGAAAAACAATATTGGCTCTACTTTCAAGGTTGTGACTCTCCAGAAGATGATGGTTAAGCCTGTCTTCCAAGGTGCCTCTGGGCAGCTTCAAACTGCCAACCTTTCAGAGCATGTGCCACTCAGGGATTCCTAACATCTCCATCACAGGGTTATTTTAAGGATTCATGTAAAGTACTTAACCAAGGTGCTTAGTCACATGGCTTTTAGGCATAGAGAAGTTGTTGTTATAAGATAACACTTTTTTGTGTATAAGCCATTTACTTTGGGCTGTAACTCTTTAAAGTGACACCCTACATGGTGTATCTTGTTAATTCTCTTGTCTAGATTTTTGTTCCCCATAATAAAGTCATTAACAAGCAAACAACTAAAAACAGTAATATTCATAACAGAAATTCCTTAATATCATCTAGCCTTAGTCCATATTCAAATTTTTTCAGTTACCTCAAGCTGTTCTTTTATGGTAGGTTTGTTGGAAGAGTCTGCATATTGCATTTGTGAGTATGTTTCCTTAATAATTATTCTATAAAAGCTCCCCTGTTAAAGAGATTTGTTAATGATTTGTTGTTATAACTGATTCCTTTTTTATGTAACTCACTGTTCCTCAGCCATAGATACTTTAAGAAGCTTCTAGGTGAGTCTGATGCCAAAGTTTGAGAACCACTGTTTTATTTCCTGTTCTTTGCAGTCCTAAACATTAGTTGCTCATACAATAAATTAAGGTTCAATTTCATGTTGTAAATTTTAATAAAAATATTCTATAGATGCTGTCAGAATTGCATAATGCCTGGTCCTACTTTTAATAATGTTAAGATGCTGCACAGAGTAATGTTAAGATGCTGAGTTGGAATCAACAAATGGCACTAACAACAACATAAGAGTGATTAGTGATTTAGCCTGTTATTCCTACATGAGTAAGTAAAAAAGTATTGCTGTTAGGGTTCTGCTTCATACAAAATCTATTTAAACATGTCTCTGCGATCAGTGAATGGCTGCTGAGAAGTTCTCTCAGTAATGTGCTTGTCTGGGCCAGTTATATTCAACTTAACAGAGAATGCAGAAGGTTTTGGTGACTGTCTTTTGGGATTCCAAAGGTGTAATCTTGATAAATTTCCTTAAAGAACACAAAAGGCCAAGAACGTTGTTCTGAGAAAATGTTTTCTATAATGAAAATGTACCTGCTAATTCATCAAGGGTATAGCAAGGACTATTTTTTGAGAAGTTTGTTGGGAAACCTTACTCCATCTATCCTACAGCCTAATTTTGCCTTCTCAGACTTATTTTTGTTCCCCAAACTCAAGAGACATTGAAAAGAAGAGTAATTTGAGTCCCTTGAGGATGCCCCAAACCGCAATTTTGACATGGTATAAATTGAAGAACACAGAATTATTTGGGGGAAAGGTTAGTGAGAAATGCTGAGTTCAGACCTATGTGGAAGGTAAATTGAGAAACAGTAGCTTCGCATTTTGATACTTTTCTGTAATAAAGGTTTCTATGATTTTTATAGTGATGCTTTTGACTTAACTTCTTATAAAGGATCTCTAAAAAATCATGCAAAATGTGTATTATGAGAAAATTTACAGTGGACCAAAATTTAATTATTTTTGGACCAAAATAAACAGGTTAGCACCTGTAACATATTTCAACAAACTCTATTTTGAGGCACTAAGAAGGACAAGATATCAGTTTGGAAGGAGTATTTGCCAAAATTGAATTATGAAGAAGCATCAAATGTAAGCTGTAGCTTGGAAAGATAAATTGTGAAATCATTGATGCTTAAGAAAAGTTCCTGGGGACAGTGCCCTAAAAGAAATCAGCAGTTTACAAGTTAATTGCTTTTTTTAAGAAGGAAGGAGATGATGTTGAAGATGAGTTCTGCACTTACAGAACATCTGCTACATGTAAGGGAAAAAATTGAAAAAATTGCTACTTGTTCATGCTGTAGCTGAAAAGGATCTTTGATTAACAGCAGAAATAGCCATTATCATAAACATCTTAATTGGTTCAATTTACACAATTCTGACTAAAAAAATAAAATTGAACAAACGTTCTGCTCCATGGGTACCAAGATTGTTACTGCTCAGATCAGTGCAGACAAGAGCATCACCTTCGATGGAAATTTTAAACAAGATCAATATCCTAAAGCATTTC